ATATATACACATATATATATACACATATATATACATACATACATATATATATATATACACATATATATACATACATATATATATATATATATATATACACATATATACATACATATACATATATATACATACATATACATATATATATACATACATATACATATATATATACATATATATATATATATATACATATATATATATATACACATATATATATACACATATATATATATACATACATATACATACATATATATATATATATATATATATATATATACATATAATCAGTAGTCAGCAGAAATGACTCAGAGTAATATCAGTTCTCTCAGGGTAGAAGAACTGATGGCTCGTCTGATTTAGGACAGTTAAAAGGCAGATTTTAATTCAAGTTTCTTTATTGTCATTCTCATCACATGTGGTACATGAGGTGGAACGAAACTGTGTACTCAAGGTCCCAGTTACATCCCAAAACAGCAAAAATAAACAGTATAGAAAGAAACAGAATATACGGATCTAAGCTATACACTAGACATAGGATAAAGAAACGCTAAATGATACGCTAAAATATCTAAATATACGCTAAACACATGTAATAATATAATAAAAAACATAATGTAAAACAATATGGTATATTAAACAGCAGCCCGAACATGAGTCTGTAGTGAGTATAGTTTATAGATAGTGTATAGTGTGTATAGTGTGTATAGTGTAGTTGGTATGAATGAATGCAGCAGCATGAGAGCAGTTCTGAAACAGTTTTAAAATCTCATCATGGTTCCTGCAAAGAAACCTCGATGCCGCTATCAGTTTTTATTACGTAGACGTCTTTGGGTGCTTGACGACAGCGTCTCCTGCAGTCTGATAACACTTGTGTAATGACTGTGTAAAGTGTAATTCAAAGCAGAACACATTGAGTGTTGCCAGAGAAATGACTATCTGATAGAAAATAAGGAGGCTCAAAAGTAATAAAATAACTTGGTATTTACTTCAAATAACTACATACAGTACTTCTGTGTAAATGAACATCTAATGCAAAAGTGGTGTCAGTATAAATGCCTTTAAAATCCTTTTTGTACAAACCGTGATGAAACTGTTGAGAATAAAGTTGTTTACTATGTCGGTACCTGCTTTGACTCTGGCTCTGTTCAAATTAACCCTTCGCCTGACTTTTCAAAGTAATAATTTTCAGTTTTCTGCCACAGGTAAGATACTGACAATTGATAAAAACTCCAGACAAGATATTGCTATAGATAAAATATCGACATTTGGTAAAATTATTGCTTCAAAATATTTGAGCTCTCGCTTTAAAGTAGGAGTCCAATAATTGTATTGTAAGCTTTATGGATAGTTTCCAAAATGTTTATTTGAGCTTTGGCTGCTTTTTTGTTAATTTTAAGTTCAGTTTGTTAAAGTTTTTATCCCAAGTGTTACAATTTAGTATTTAGATTAGTTCCTAAAACATCATCCTTCATGTATTTATGTGAGAAATGTATTTCCATGTTGTATCAAAATAAATAGATAAATCCACAAGACTAAATCTGGTGCAATCCAAACTAGTTTCTATTAAACTTTTAAATGGACTTAAAGGGGACATAAAATACAAAGCTTGCTGAACAAGTGATGAAAACATAATGTTTGTGTACGAGAAGTCTCACCGCGCCCCAGGGTCCGGTACGCCATTGGTGGGACTGGCTGTGCAGCAGGTTGTTTCTGGCGCTGGTGTCTGGTGAAGACGGTGAAGGCCGGGACTCACTGGAGCTGGACGGGCACTGAGACATAGCACAGTCCTGCTCTGTGGCAGGACGATCGTCTGGGTCACATTCACTGGCGTTCACTTCCTGTTCACTGAAGTTAAGGCATAGCACCTGCCGCGTCGTCTTTCCCTGCCCACAACTCACAGAGCACTAAAAACAAAAAATGTGGGGAGTGAGGGAGGAAATGATATCCACAAAGGAACATCTTTTGTTAATTCACATGCTAAAAAAAAAACATTTCATCTGCTTGTGATCACAGATGAAAGAGGACAATGAGACATAGAAATGATTTTAAATTAAACATTTTATTTATTTATTTATTAGGGGCAGCATGTTGGAACAGGGGGCAGCACGGTGGCACAACTGGTAGAGCTGCTGCCTCTCGGCGAGCAGGTCCCTGGTTCAAACCCCGGTCCAGGGGCCTTTCTGGGTGGAGTTTGCATGTTCTCTCCGTACATGCGTGGGTTTTCTCCGGGTACTCCGGTTTCCTCCCACAGTCCAAAAACATGCATGTTAGGCTGATTGGTAACTCTAAATTGTCCCTAGGTGTGAGTGAGAGAGTGAATGGTTGTTTGTCTCGTTTGTCTCTATGTGTCTCTGTGATGGACTTGCGACCCGTCCAGGGTGTACCCCGCCCCTCACACAGTGATTGCTGGACATAGGCACCAGCGACCCCCGTGACCCAAAATGGAATAAGCGGGTAAAGAAAATGGATGGATGGATGGATGGATGTTGGAACAGTTGGTAACGCTGCCACCTCTCAAAGAGAAGGTTGTTAGATCTAATCCTGGCTGGGGGTCTTTCTGGGTGGAGTTTGCATGTTCTCTCCGTACATGCGTGGGTTTTCTCCGGGTACTCCGGTTTCCTCCCACAGACCAAAAACACACATGTTACACTGATTGGTAACTCTAAATTGTTTCTAAGTGTGAGTGAGAGAGTGAATTGTTGTTTGTATCGTTTGTCTTTATGTGTCCCTGTGATGGACTGGAGACATGTCCAGGTGTCCCCCACCTCTCACACAGTGACTGCTGGACATGGGCATCAGTGATCCCCATGACCCCAAAAAGGAAGACGCGAGTAAAAATGATGGATGGAATCAATTAAAATATATACATACACGTATGTATATATATATATATATATATATATATGTTCGTAAGTGTGTTGTTTGTGGAAAAACAGGTCTAACTTTGGCCTTACGATGAACTATTTCCTTTCAGGAGGTCATTGAGGATCTTTGGCTTGATGTAACGTGGATGTGCGTGGGAAGAATGTGCGTGTGTGTGGGTGTGTGTGTGTCTGCGTGCTGTGTATGGTGACCAGACTTGCAGTCTAACTGTATTGTATCGCTAGGACTCTGATGAGAAACATCTGTAAACAAGATTGAGGCCCCTCTGCAGCCTCCTGCATCTCCCAGCTCCAAAAACGTGCGCCTCACCCCCCGTTCCTCTTTCTCTTACATGCAAACGAGCGAGTGCATTTTCTTTTTCCAGGATACATTGTAGGGACCAATTATGAAAAAAAATCCTACATTGTGGGGACCAACTGCTTCTTGTGGTGATCAAAGCCTGGTCCTGATAAAGATAATTCTTGTTGGGGAGCTAGGTTTAGGACTAATGTGTGAATTGCGGATGTGTTAGGGTTATGTACTAGCAATGGTTAAGTTAAGGGTAAGGGTCAGGGTTAGGCTATAGAAATGAATGAAAAATGAATGGAAGTTAATGCAATGTCCCCACAAAGTTAGAGTTACGAGAACGTGCATGTGCACGCACCCCTCCCCCTCAACACACACACACACACACACACACACACACACACACACACACACACA